ACCCCAGTGCGGAAAGAATAGGTTTTACTTAACCGAAAAGATATCATCTGTGAAGATTTCTAAGGATCCGACTAGATTCTAATCGGGATCCCCCGGAGCGAAAAGATGACTTTTTATCGGTCTCGATCATCCTCCTGTCAAATTTACTATTTTAATTTCATACTCGAATTTGGTGTTTGTATGTTAGATTAATTAATCAATAATTTTTACTTAATCTTCTCTAAATTTAAATCTTTAATAGATTCGTAAACAAAAACACACAAATTTTAGTAATAAATTTACATCTGGAATTAGTTTTAACCCGTTTTTAATTGTTTTCAGATCTAGACAAAAGGGAAAGTAGAATCATTTGGCTCTTTATCTGGATCTCAATCTTTGTCTAAATTCTTTTATAAGGACCAAAATTTAGTCCATTATATAAAAATCATAACGAAATTTTCATAAGTGATGAAAAAAATCTGCCTTTATTTGTTTTATTGGTGTTATTCATATATATTTATGCCTTTTGAGGAAGATAGAGGCCTACAGAGGTTCCATATCACCTCTTTCTCTAATTCTTTTAAATTCTTTGATAATATCAAAATAAAAAAAACTGAAAAATAATTTACATATTCATAAAAATATAAAATAATTACGGTTTTTTTAAATAAACTATTATAAATATATGTAAATAAACTTAATTAACAATCATACCGAATGTTAATCAATGGAGTATTAATATATATCTATATAATAGTATGTTTTAAGCTATGACTGAATATTAAATAGAACCATNTAATTATAATTAAAGGAATGATTAAACAGGTAATAATATAAATATTAATAATAAGCATAGATTATATATTAAATTTAATTTCAACATATTCAAATTATTACTACTTTCATACCGTTTACAATTCTTTAATTTCATGAAATTAAATAAATATATAAAATCGAATAATACAGGAAAAGATTTTAATATTTAAAGAAAATAAAGTAAACAAATTTCTGCATTTTAAAATATGTTTAATATAATATTTATTAAGAAAAGATTTCAAAAATTGTTAGATTTCCTGCCGTTCTACTTTAATACTTGATCCAGATTATAGAATAAATTACTTTTTATAACTATTTTTGAATTATTTTCTTAAAAATTATATTATTTAACATAATTTATTGCAAATTAAATATATATGTATTTAGTTTAAGATATTCCTTACAGCTAATGATAGCATATACAGTATACTGTTACTATGCTTGATACATTTTTATACTTGAGGCCACAAAAATTTTCCATGGGGGAGCGCAGTTTGAAGAAAATTACATTAATAAATTTCTATTTAATTATTTACTTTTCGGGGATTTTTTCCACACGTAGATTATAGAGTGCAGTATTACATCAAAGCATCCCATGGTTTCAGAGTGTAAGGTTAAGTATTTCAATCATTTTTACGATCATAATTTGAATAATAAATTTTTACTCGATCCCAGGGAGGGATCGAGTAAGAATGTCCCCTTCTGTGGATGCCCATAGTTATAGTCATAACCTTTGAATTTTTAAACAGATATTCCTAATGCTACACTACAATTTCATATATACAATATACATATATATACAGTGAAACTTGTGTAAACCGGACTCGTACGGGACCGAATATTTTCCGTTTTGGGCAGGTGTTTTTTTTAACACAAAAAATTACTACATTCTTAAGAATTTTTCTGGTTTAGGCAGGTTTCTGTTTTATAAAGGTTCCATTTTCGACAGGTTTTACTGTAATTCAATTTAAGAAAAGATTGTAAAATTATTTTTTTTAATTCTGTTTTTAATTTAGTCTTTTTAAATTTTTTTACTTTGCTTTTAAACAAATATTAAGACAGATTCAATAGTAGACGGAGCAGATGGACTTTAAACGTATTTTACTGTAATTCGATGCGTTATTCATCTTTAATGCCGGCTTTTAAAAATATTAATGAAAGAAAATACAAAAAGAAAACATGAAAATTTATTAATTATTGATTTTTTTTCTTTATAATAAAATGAACTTACATAATTGTTAAACTTAATGAAATTTGAATAGTCATTACTGTTTACCATTAAATGATTTTTTTTTAAATTAATTGAAAAGATATAATAACGTTTTTCGAATTTAATTAATTAAAGTGTCCTCTGATCTAGTTTTTAAAAGTGAATGAGACGTCAGTTTTATTTATCGTTTCAATAAATTTATTTATGGAAAAGTATATTTGCATATTCGAATTTTATATGCTACTGTTTCGTTAAGTCTCATGCATTTTTAAAATGTACACAATATATACGAAGATCTAACAGAAAAATAAAAATAAGAATAAAGAAACTTCGGGCTAAATCTCTCTTTTTAAACGTGATTTATTCTCACAAATCCTTATCTGAAAAAATAATATAATAAATACCCCATTAAGCAGATAGAAGAAACTGCAATGGAACGTTATCCTATGAGTAAAAAGGGTAATTGCCTGAAGTCCCCACCAACAGGACCTCAAATATATTATAAGAAAGTATTTTCCAAAAACATCCCCTCTAAGAACAATATCTGAAATCAACACGGTACTGTACATGGGGTCCCTAATTCAAATTTGTCTGGGCCCCACGAAGCTGCAAGGCACCACTGAGAAACCGATAATTAATATAACGAAATTCACAAATAAATTTTATAATATTCATTTCTATTCTACATAAAGCATCAGTGATGCACAACGAGAGCTCATTCCCAAAAGACTTCTTCAACTACTCAATGCTAAGACAAAATGCCAACATATAAAATCGTACGCATAAAGAAAATCGAAACCAAAAATGTGAATTTTACGATAGAAGTTACTTTATTCGCCTTGAAATTCTTAATTTTTAAAGTGAATTTTGGCATTAATAATGAAAGCAGGTTACAATTGTCTCTACAAACATTTCCACTTCATTTACGTGATCCTCATCAGGTTAAACTTTAATGAAGTTTCATTTTAATAAGTGTTAATAGATTCAAATTGGACATCAGAACTCGTGATATCAATTTGACTAGTTTGTTCATTCACGATATTAAATTTATTTAAAGTACAGTAAAACCTGTATAAACCGGACTCGCACGGTACCTGTTTGGCAGGATTCCGTTCTGAACAGGTTTTACTGTATATAAAAAAGCCATTCATATCTATTAAGAAATTGACTTTTTAACTTAATTTTAAAATATATAATTTATTTTTCTGTCGTTAGTTCGACTTGAAACATCCCCGAGAATATTTAAGTAACTTCTTTTAAAGATTTTAACTTAAATTATATATTTTAAAAGCTCTACACGAGTTACTTTTACTTTTTTAATATTTTTAAATGTTTCTTCTTTTTGTTTTCATCAATTAAATGTAAATATAATGATGTAGGATTACCTATTTTATAGCCTATCGTAACTCCATGTACGGGCTTAATGGTACTTGTTAAAATGTTCCTTCGATAGCTACTCTTTTTTAAATCTAATTTTAGATAAGATGGTCAAGATCGATATGAGTAAGCGTTTTAAAATAAATTGATCTGATTATTTAGTTTCGGACCGTTGTCTAAAGGGAGAACAACTTAATCCCAATAGTATATTTGTTAAGAGTTGGAATTCTGTTCAATGCAGCATAAGATATTCTAGGTTAATTGCATGTTAGTGGGATATGACTAATGGTCTAGCTGCCACAAACATAACGTTGTTTATCTTCGATCCACGTGCCACACATTTCTGAAAATCTCTTTATACTATGCCGCAGATTATGATGTAATAAGGATTCTAAACTTTAGGCAAACTATAAACCCTCAGGAAATATTAGGATAAAATACAGCATCCGTTATACTAAAAATTACAATAAATAAAAAAAAGTTCAAGAGTAAGTAAGAGTGTTCCTCAACACTTCTTAAAAGTGAAATTATCTAAAGAAAATCTTGATTTTTTCAATGATAAAGGATCATTAATACAAAAGAAAGTCAAAATGTAACTAATTAAGTTTAGCCTAATTATTTAAATAGAAATTGATAAAAATTGGCAATATTTTTAACATCCCACCCTCAAATTACATCCCTCCTATCCTGTTAATTGTATACAAAATATAGAGTGATCACTTGAGTTAGAAATTTATAAATTATCTAAAAAAAATAACATAAAAACTCTCCATAAGTTAGTTTACCATATTTAATAATTATTAAAACTAAATCTGACTATTTTTCTACATTTAGACTACATCATCAATGATGATCATTGCAATTAACTTCATTAAATCTACTTTCAGTTAATGCAAAAGCCTAATTAATGAACTATTATCAGTTAATTTCTAAACACAATTTTGTATGATGATTTTATTATATTTATATTTTAAAATTTTAACAATTTAATAACACATGAATAAATAATTTAACACTTTAATATATATTTCTTTAGTTATAAACATATCAAAAGTATAAGCCATAAAATTAGAAAGGATTACTTCTTTAATAAATTATAACTCTATAATGATATATATTCAGTTATATTGAATTTTAAATTAAATTGTAATTAATATATTTATTATAATTACAAATTATATTTTTAAAGTNTTCTTACATAAAATATGTTTAAGTTTATAATTTATTTATTAAAACATTTAAAAAATTGAGGGAAAAGTTGCCGATGTTAAAAAATTCGTTAAAAATTAAGGATTTATTTATAAATTTTTAAGAAAAAAAATATTAATTTAATAGAATTTATAGTAATAAAAATTTTTTAAAATAATATTTACTTTTAAATTTAATTTAAATCACTTTAAACTGAATAGAAAATTGCTTAGATTTTTACAATTAAATAAAATTTTGCGTTTATTCTTAATTAAAATAAATTAATATAATAAAATAAAATTAAACTCTAACCGGAACATATTTCCCTTATAAAAAGTCTGTTATATATATTTTAATCGGGATAAAATAATTTTAATAAATATAATTTTAAAGAATTCTTTTATGAAATTAATAAATAAAGGAAACTTACTTTGTAACCCGAGTATCAAATAAGCTGTATTTATCAGCACAGCAACTTTAAGCGGACACATCTCGAGATACATCAAGAACAACTCGACATTCTCCCTTCCCTATTCAATCTACACTCTCGCATCCCGACATTATCAATGTTACTCCTCTCATCCCTGACTTATCCGGGATAATTTCCTCCGACCAATAAGATCGCCCCTTTCAAAAACATCGATCGAAATAAAAACGAATTCAATTATTTTTAACGAAATATTATTACTATTCGATATTTACAAAATAATCCGCGAAAAATTTTTAATTATAAGTAAAATTTCGTTTTAAGATACTTCTATTGTAATCCAATCATATTTCTCGTAACAGAGATACTGGTTAGGGTAGATTGCATTATTATTCGTTGGAAATTGGCAGATGGCGCTAGTGTCGTGTAATGGTGGGCTTTGATGGGAAGATGAACAAAGATCGTCTGCTTATTTCACTTTAAATTTTTATAAGTTTTTCGCGCTTTTAGTCATTTTTAAAAGTAAGTTATGCTTCTTATTATATTTTAATTCAGTTATGATGTATTATTATGTTATATATGAAGCGTGACATTGATTTCGCCATAGTTTGTGTATTATCGATTGTTTTACAAAATCAATAGGGAAATTTCCCCGAAATTTTATTTTATTCAATACAAAATCACAAATTTATACTTAAAATGCACAAAATCAATAGGGAAATTTCCCCGAAATTTTATTTTATTCAATACAAAATCACAAATTTATACTTAAAATGCACAAAATCAATAGGGAAATTTCCCCGAAATTTTATTTTATTCAATACAAAATCACAAATTTATACTTAAAATGCACAAAATCAATAGGGAAATTTCCCCGAAATTTTATTTTATTCAATACAAAATCACAAATTTATACTTAAAATGCACAAAATCAATAGGGAAATTTCCCCGAAATTTTATTTTATTCAATACAAAATCACAAATTTATACTTAAAATGCACAAAATCAATAGGGAAATTTCCCCGAAATTTTATTTTATTCAATACAAAATCACAAATTTATACTTAAAATGCACAAAATCAATAGGGAAATTTCCCCGAAATTTTATTTTATTCAATACAAAATCACAAATTTATACTTAAAATGCACAAAATCAATAGGGAAATTTCCCCGAAATTTTATTTTATTCAATACAAAATCACAAATTTATACTTAAAATGCACAAAATCAATAGGGAAATTTCCCCGAAATTTTATTTTATTCAATACAAAATCACAAATTTATACTTAAAATGCACAAAATCAATAGGGAAATTTCCCCGAAATTTTATTTTATTCAATACAAAATCACAAATTTATACTTAAAATGCACAAAATCAATAGGGAAATTTCCCCGAAATTTTATTTTATTCAATACAAAATCACAAATTTATACTTAAAATGCACAAAATCAATAGGGAAATTTCCCCGAAATTTTATTTTATTCAATACAAAATCACAAATTTATACTTAAAATGCACAAAATCAATAGGGAAATTTCCCCGAAATTTTATTTTATTCAATACAAAATCACAAATTTATACTTAAAATGCACAAAATCAATAGGGAAATTTCCCCGAAATTTTATTTTATTCAATACAAAATCACAAATTTATACTTAAAATGCACAAAATCAATAGGGAAATTTCCCCGAAATTTTATTTTATTCAATACAAAATCACAAATTTATACTTAAAATGCACAAAATCAATAGGGAAATTTCCCCGAAATTTTATTTTATTCAATACAAAATCACAAATTTATACTTAAAATGCACAAAATCAATAGGGAAATTTCCCCGAAATTTTATTTTATTCAATACAAAATCACAAATTTATACTTAAAATGCACAAAATCAATAGGGAAATTTCCCCGAAATTTTATTTTATTCAATACAAAATCACAAATTTATACTTAAAATGCACAAAATCAATAGGGAAATTTCCCCGAAATTTTATTTTATTCAATACAAAATCACAAATTTATACTTAAAATACACAAATATGTCAACATTCATTATTAAAATTTACACTAAAGTGATATCAAGAACATTTATTGATCTTGATATTATTAAATGTATCACCCTTAACAGAGGAAAAAAATATCAATTATCTAATGTATAATGATTTACAAAAGGTAAAAACACAATTAAAAAATCAAATATAAATCGAATTTATTTGAAATTGGGAAATAAATAAGTTATTTTTCAATTTAATAACCACGCAATCATTATACAAGGGATGCAAAAGTAGATTTACAGGAAGAAACAGGTAGGGGAAAAAACTTAATTTTCATGCATAAATTAAATCAGGAATACGAAGTAATAAAGAATAATAATAATCTCAAACATCTGTATTTCTCAAATTTACAACTGTATACCTGCTTTTCCACCCCCATATGTATATACATTTATCAATAATAGGGATTGAGAGAAATGACGTACAGTATTTCTCAATAAGTGACATATGAGGCACTTCCTTTGAAAACCACAAAAATATACAAATAAAATAGATATTTATTTGTATATTTTTAATTACAAATTAAAATGCACAAAATTACAAATTAATTAAAATATTAAAAATAAATTTGTATATATGTGTATTTACTCTTTCTCGAAAAAATTTTCATTTATATCAGGCTTTTTACATAAAAGAATTTTATATAGAACGTTACTATTTTTATTTGGAGCATTGGCCAAATTGCTCTGCAGGTCTCCCTCAATCTAAGCCTGATTACAAAATACATATACAAAGAAAAATAATTACTGCAAACTATAGATTTCTTGCGAATAAAAAACCATAAATTATTATTTATCATAAACAATAAATGTATCGAACATATATATATATAGGGGAGACCGGGGCAAGTTTGTCAAGCGCTTTTTTTTAAAAACAAATTAAAAGGAGACTTTGGTTATAGGTTAGGCAGTTGAGTTTTATTGGTGGTTTGTTGAGTGTAGTGTTTTTATTGTTCTCCAACAAGCGTAGTTGAATTATCAAGCGAATTTTCATTTTCGTTGAATTCCATATAATATTTTTTTCCATTTATATTGAATTGGCAGGTTTTGTTATAATTCCATGATAACGAAAGTTACTTTTCCTGTTAGAAGGATGTAACTTCAACTTATTCACGTGGCCAGATCGTGGCTTGGCATTCTGTTCTCAGGGTTGTACTTAATGTTTCGAAATCATGACTAGCGGGGTAAGATCGGCAACATAAAGCCACATTAGAAGCAAAGGATAAAAATCAAACAGATGATAAATGAAAACATGTTTGCATTTGTTATTCATGTATATATGTCTTTGAACTTGCATTTCGTTGTAATAATATTAAATGGGTGTTGGATTTGTATTTCTTTGTTTTAATAGTGAATTCCAACTTATACATTGTTAATAACATAATTTTATATACGTGCCTATCTTGCCCCATTACTGTTGCCCCTATACCAGGGGCAACTTTAATAAAAATAATTAAAATAATTACAACTTTACATAAAGAGAAAAGTTGCCGATCTTGCCCCTATACCCGGGGCAACTTCGTCAATTTCTCTCTTCTTGTAAAGTTGTAATTATTTTAATTATTTTTATTTCCAAACTGATTTTAACCAGTTCTATAGCAAGGTAACATTCCAATAGACAATATGCAAAGCTTTTTTTTCAGTTTACAGCAGTATTTATTACACAAAATTTAAGTAAAGCTTAACATGCCGATCTTGCCCCGGTCTCCCCTATATATATATATATTTGATGTTATGATAAAATAATATGTAGCATAAATTATAGTAAATGAGGTTGAGGCGACGATCCCCATAGTATTTTTCTAGTGACAAAAAATATTCACAGCAAATTTGTGCAGATATATTAAACGGTGTAGAACCATTTACCTAACAAACAAGTATACATATTTTAACTTTTATATATTGTACATATACTGTATAGTTCTTTTGTTGGAAAAATCTCTTGTGCTTACATATTTTCTATTCTGATTAGATTTACTATTTTATAGAAATTCTTCTTTGTTGATTATAATTCAAATTACGAAAAGTACTCTTTTTCGATACGAAAATATAATAGGAATATGAGACTTACATAATACAAATTCCAAATAATATATGATTCATGAGAAACACGATTGTAAGTGAAAATGTATTTCTAGGTTAAAAGCAGCTTAAAAAACGGAGTCTTAAAACAGTTGTGAATTCTTTGGATAGGATATCAAAGAATTCACAACTATTATAAATATAGAATTATACATAATGAATTCGTAGATACTATAATATTGAATAACACATAATTTTTAGTTGAAGTTTTGCTGTAAATTTCAAGGTTTTTAAGATTTTTTTTCTCTTGATATATTATATGTTTTTGTTAGGATTAATATTTAAAGACTGTAACAAGATCTAGAGAAGTTAGAGAAAACTGAAATAACATAAAAACACAGCCTTTTAGTTTGAACATTGTAGGCCTATTTCGGATTTTTTCCAAATTAAAAATAAAAACTTTTCCAATTTATATTTGATCCTTATTTGCTACACTAAAAATAATTTTCAAAGCTTTTCTCGTCATAAAATACATGAATATAAAATTACTTTTTTAAAAGATATCTACCCATAAGATTTTCTTATGGGTAGATATCTTTGTTAAATCCATATTGTCTTTCTTTTAGCAATAATCAATTGGTTATTCATATATATAGACTATACTTTTCTTATTTATTGGTTATCCATCAAAACAATCTGAGTCACTGATTACAGATAGTTACATTCAGCTGCACAATTTATATCACTTCTGTAATCTTAGAGAATACAATATGTTTATCTGTGTTTATGTAAGAATTTTTTTGGAAGAACTTTTGTAAAGCCAAATTTTTTCTACTTTTCATATATATTAATTTACATATTTTTGCTCAATAGAAAGGTATAATTTAATTTAACAATATCATTAATAGCGTTGTCTGTTAGCATTATTATTATCATTATTTACTTAGTTCTCAAAAAATAAATTGATAAATTTAATTCGTACAAATAATAAATGTTTATTTAAATAATAATTGCAATTATAAACTTAATAATAAAATGAAACTAATA